CTGGAGCAAATTACAAAAAAAAAAAAAAAAAAAAAAAAAAAAAAATATTTACAAAAAACCAATATTACATGGTTGGTATGATTGTTAATACATTGTATGTCTCCCAGACGATGCAATACAGTCCGTACAACGCCTAGGCATGCTGAGTATCAAATTATAGATCTGATCTTGGGGGATATTACACCACTCAAAAAGCAATGCTCTCCAAAGTTCCGGTAGACATGTAGGAGAAGGTTAACGGGCTGCAACTCGTCGACCAAGCATGTCCCACACGTGCTCTACTGGATTCAAGTCCGGTGAGAATGCTGGCCAGTCCATACGGGTGATATCCTGCGATTGAAGGCATTCGCTTACGATGTTTGCACGGTGAGGACGGGCGTTGTCATCCATAAACACAAATTGTGCGCCCCGAAACAAACGTTCATGTTGTTCCAGAATGACGTCCCGATAGATTTGCCTTGTCATGGTTCCAGTTTGAACATGCAGGTCAGTTCTGGAACCCAGAATAATTCCACCCCAAACGAGCACTCCTGCACCACCGTAACGGTGTCGTTCAATGATGTTTTTTTGGCGGTAACGGGTACCTGGAGTACATATACGAAAATCCGGCGAGAATGAGACTGCAAGCTAAACCTGGACTCGTCGGAAAACATCACACAAGCCCACTGTTGCGGTGTCCACAATGCATGCTCTCTACTCCAGGCTAACCGCAGGCGACAGTGAGTTGCAGTAAGTGGAACGCATCTGACACGTCTACGAGCATATAGACTAATCTGCCCTAAGCGTCTGTACACGGTCTGCCTTGAAATTGTCATACCAGTGGCTGAAGAGAGCTGACGAGACATGTCTGAAGCTGTGCTTCGCCTGTTTCTTTTAGCAAGTAACTGCTAAATAGCGTTCCTCATTCGGCGTTGTAACTCTGGGGCGACCTGTGCTGTAACATCTACTCACATTACCATCATCTTGGAATCGTTGCCAAAGCCTGGAGATGACACTCTGGGCAATTCCAAGTTCGTCTGATACTTCCAATTAGGTACGCCCACATTCCAGACGGCCGATAATTCTACCACGTAAAAAATCATCCAAATGCGGTCCTTTGTGTCATAACTATTCGGTTATTGCACTGAAATGCTTGTAAAGAGCCTGCGAACAATTTTACTTCTTTGCCTGTATTCCTTATATATCAGTCTCTTACACTCTCGTCATTGTGACGTACCATCGGTGTCATCTGGTTACTATTTTACAGGCGATATATTTATTTTAGAGTTCGATTTCCGCGTGACTCCGAATTATCCTTAATTTATGGACATGAGTGTAAGATGCTTCTCTCGAAACAGAGTAAAGGAAAATGTGAGTTAAACGAGCTCTCGCAAGTGTTTTCAGGTAACAAGTCCTCAAGCCTTATTAGACAATTACGTAGCTCAAATTGTTTGAAAATTTGAGCAGCGCATGAGTTTTCAAGGTGAGGCAAATATCTATTGTGTAAGGCAAGTGTATATTATATTATTCAGAAGAAAATCTCAAACTTTGTTTTTTTATTTAGGAAACTTTATGCATTCCACAGAGAAATCTTAATCGGAGAGTATTTTAAGAAGAGCATCTATTAATTGCAACCACTCCGCCCAGTTTTTGGGTTAATTTTATTAGTTTCGATTCAAGGCCTTTGACTATGATTAGAGCAGCATATATTGAGAGGCTTATTTACCTCGAATTCTTTAACTTTCTTCTCTTTTACATACAGCTTGCTCTCTTTCTATAGCGGTACGATTCTTCTGCTATATCCGTGAAACAATCTTTGGATTCGTGTTATTTTCATAGCGAATGTAGCGAGAAGCATGTTTACGAGAGTGTTGAGATGACGGAACTCCTGGAAACGATAACATTCAGTTAGCTCTTTTTCTATAGAGATACGATTCTATTTTGAATATGAAATGCATCATGTATTTAAATTATAAAAATCAGATGTGATTTATCATTCTTTTTATCTGTGCTAAGAGAGCAGAGGAATTACCTTGCCATCTCTTCTTTTGCAAAACTGAAAGACTCTCTTGTCCTTGAATTAGAAGCCAACCAGCGGCCGAGCGGTAAAGTCGCTTAACACTGGTAGTTCGGTCCGAAGTTCGAATTCCGTGAACGGGCTGGCTGCATGGGCATTTTCGGGGTTTTCCCCATGTCTAACGTGTACACGAGCCAGTTTCCCTTAAGTCCTCCACGAAGGCATTCCTCCCATTAGGCAGATAGCCCTCGAGGCTTTGCCATAACCACACACACACACCTTGAATTAGTAGTTTATCTACACTCATGTCCATAAATTAAGGATAATTCGAAGTCACACGGAAATCGAACTCTAAAATAAATATATCACTTGCAAAATCACTACACACATCTTCAAGAATCATATGCAAATTTCAGGAAGTAACCAGATGACACCGATGGTACGTCACCCTGACGAGAGTGTAAGAAACTGATATATAAAGAATACAGGCAAAGAAGTAAAATTGTTCGCAGGCGCTTTATAAGCATTTCAGTTCAATAACCGAATAGTTATGATACAAAGGACGCATTTGGATGATTTTTTACGTGGTAGAATTATCGGCCATCTGGAATGTGGGCGTACCCAACTGGAAGTATCAGACGAACATAAAATTGCCCAGAGTGTCATCTCCAGGCTTTGGCAACGATTCCAAGATGATGGTAATGTGAGTAGATGTTAACAGCACAGGTCGCCCCAGAGTTACAACGCCGAATGAGGAACGCTATTTAGCAGTTACTTGCTAAAAGAAACAGGCGAAGCACAGCTTCAGACATGTCTCGTCAGCTCTCTTCAGCCACTGGTACGACAATTTCAAGGCAGACCGTGTACAGACGCTTAGGGCAGATTAGTCTATATGCTCGTAGACGTGTCAGATGCGTTCCACTTACTGCAACTCACTGTCGCCTGCGGTTAACCTGGAGTAGAGAGCATGCATTGTGGTCACCGCAACAGTGGGCTTGTGTGATGTTTTCCGACGAGTCCAGGTTTAGCTTGCAGTCTGATTCTCGCCGCACTTTCATATGGAGAGCTCCAGGTACCCCTTAGCACCAAGAAAAAATCATTGAACGACACCGTTACGATGGTACAGGAGTGCTCGTTTGGGGTGGAATTATTCTGGGTCCAGAACTGACTTGCATGTTCAAATTGGAACTATGCCAAACCAAATCTATCGGGACGTCATTCTGGAACAACATGTACGTTTGTTTCGGGGCGCCATGGGCGCCTAATTTGTGTTTATGGATGACAACGCCCGTCCTCAGCGTGCAAACATCGTAAGCGAATGCCTTCAATCGGAGGATATCACCCGTATGGACTGGCCAGCATTCTCACCGGACTTGAATCCAGTAGAGCACGTGTGGGACATGCTTGGCCGACGAGTTGGAGCCCGTCAACCTCCTCCTACATGTCTACCGAAACTTCGGAGAGCATTGCTTTTTTGAGTGGTGTAATATCCCCCAAGATCAGATCCTTAATTTGATACTCAGCATGCCTAGGCGTTGTACGGACTGCATTGCATCGTGGGAGACATACAATGTATTAACAATCATACCAACCATGTAATATTGTTTTTTTTTTGTAAATAGGTTTCTTTTTTCTTTTTTTTTTTTTTTTTTTTTTTTTTTTGTTATTTGCTCCAGGGAAAAAAATCGCTAATTTTTTTAATAATATCAAACATATAGCATTTTCTTTTTCTTTTTTTTTCTCTTTACCTTTTGTTTAATAAATAGGCTTTACAAATAAGTCAAATTTGTTTTGCTTCTAACTCTTCCTTTGCCTGATTTTGCATTACCCTTAATTTATGGACATGAGTGTAGTATTTTATCACTACAGTGTCTTTACAGTGAGGCTTTAAATGACAACTTTAATATCTTTATTATCTGAAATTATCAGAAAATATTATTATCTTATTATTATTATATTAATGTTCAGTTTTCTTACTAAGATGGCTTTACAAAAGTTTTTTTTTTCTTAAATTATTATTAACGTTTTTTGTATTTACTTTTTTATTAAAATATCATGTTCTTGTGGCTTACGCCACATAAAATTTGATTCAATAGCGAAATCACAAAATGTTTAAAAACAGCACATCTTTAGAATTTTTGATAGACAGTTTCACATAGTTGCTGGAGATAAAAATGTTTTATTCCGTACAGTTTTTCCATACTGTCTTAGAAATGTTGAGTTTGTTAACCACAAATTCGTTAAAGTTTTATAAAATATAAAAAAAAATAACAAAACAAATTCGAAATTCAAATTTCTGCTTCGAAGTGTACATATTGCGGTTGAAGGCTAAGTTCTTCAAAATTTGATGGCTATAGGTACCGTCGTTTTTTTCGCAGTGGGAGAAATATGCATGCATTCATGCAGGTTCATCATTATTTAATTTCTTTAAATATAATACAGGGCGATAATATTTGGTGGCAACAATTTGGAAAGTTATGCAAAGTGTTTAAATGTTTCGACGCAAAATGCCTTTTCGAAACTAATACCCCATGATTTTTTGGGGAAGAAGTTTTCCTTTTTCCATTCCATGATTAGACAGAGAAATTTGCCTGAAAAATTCGAGATTTTAATTAGAATTTATTGTGTATAAAGAGTTGAGCTACAAAATCTCACAGTCATAATATTTCGATAATACAAAAGTTAGCCATCAAATTGAAATATATCGTGACTGACCCTGGATACTTTGGCTCAAACACAAAGTATTTACAGGAGGAGGGGAAGTAATTAAGTAGAATTTTTGAAAACGTACAGCAAAATGTCTCAGGTAAATAAACTATTACTGTTATATGCGTGAATGTTTGTGTTCAAATGCCTGTGAATGAACATCTGCTGTCTTTGCAGATGAGGAAGTTTGAATCAATGCAAAATAGAAGATACCTGGCGCACGAATGCCAAATTCTTATTTGTGTTTCAATACAGCTTTCAGCTACCTGATTATAAAGCTGGTATTTGAGCTAAAGAATTCAACCGAAAGAGTATTAGATGAATGATGAGCAAGAAAAATATTATTAACTTCTAATTAAAAAATATTTATGTAAGTGATGAATATCCACGTAGTTCGAAGTATAAGTTAAAAGTCGGTTTTAGTGTGAATTGATTTTCAAATAATATGCTAAAATTAAACAAATTCAACCTCTTTTTTTGGGACAATTTAAAATTGCTTATTTTTGTTGAAAAGAGGACATAGAAAAAGTAGCAACTTTAATCTTTCATTTTATAAAGCACTTTTTTTTTTGTTTTGTTCTATTGATACTTATTGTTTTAAACCTAGATTGAAAGCAATAATAATTTGAATTATTTGAATACTGGGGAAAAACCCAAAAGGATAATTCGTCTAAATATAAGAGTCAAAGCTTTATGAATTTCTAATTAGTATTTTTTAAATGTTATATGCAACTCAAAATCGGGAACTAGAAATACATTTTTTAAAAAATAAATTAGGATAAATTATTTTCAGTTCGAGGTTTTTCTTCTTCTCAAAACCATTAAAAACCTGAGACATTTGTTCTGTTAGAAAGTTTTTAATTTCTCATATTGCTAAAAATTACATCTTTAAATCTTAAACGATGAATTCATTTCCTAGATCAATAATCTTGTTGATTTTTTCTGCTAATTTTTGCTTAATTTCCATGTGGGGTGATCCTACTCTATATTATTTCTGGTTCGAAAACAAACTTCACGATAGCTGGATTTTAGAAAGCCTTAATGATACTTACATGATTTATTGCCTGCAAAAATGTAGAAGGAATTCAAACTGTACCGGAATGGCTCTAAGTTCTCTCCAAGAAGATGCCGACGATCACACAAGAACGTGTCATCTCTTATGGAAAATTGATGAATCGGATTGTATCGACAATGAAGAATGTAACATAGAAGGCTACCAAATTTATCACGTAAGTTTTTATAAGCGCTTATTATTCAAATTTTTTTAATGGAATCGTTAAGTCACCAAGCAATAGATGTTTTCATTTGATAATATTTGTTATGTTCAAAGTTTATTTTTGAATATTAAAGCTTCACAAAAATTAATTTTAAATTGCAGAAATATAGTTTAAAAGGAGAACTTTCAAGTAAAAATTTAGTTCTAATTTTGTTTTCAACTTTCGAGCCTGAAATATGTGACGGTGGTGAGGTTTCATTTTCTTCAAAAATATATGTCTGACTTATATGTGCATTAACACAGTTAAGACGTTTGAGTACATTATCCTCTATTTCGTACAGTTTTATTAAAGAATCAGGAATTAAAATAACTGTGAAATCTCTATTTAACAAGTTATAAGGTTTCTTAACTCATATAGAACACAAATAGAATACAAATCAAAGTTAACAGCCTTTATAAACATTTAAATCGAAGTGTTGAAAAAAAAACTTACAAGAGATTCATTTATAAGTTTCAAATAACTTCAGGCTTACCTATTAGGCAATAAAATCAGGAGTATATTCCATAAAAGAAGGTTACATACTGAACAGAACCAAGCAAAAATGCAATGCAAGTAAGAAATTTTTTTAAGACTTCTTGCATCTAAAAAAATATAGGTAAAAATATCTCTCACCAATATATCGTTTGGCGCTAAATTGTTTTTCACGTTGCCCAATTTCATTATGCGAAAATGACGCTAACTTATTCTAACACTGACTTTATATAATTTTACAATTTAAAAATAAAACGCGTTGAAAATAATCCATCGCAACTTTTAGCATTTTGCTCGGAATTAAAACTCTACTTAGCATTTTCTGTTTTAACTAATTTTTAAACTGAAGTTATAATAATATTTTTAACTGTTAAGTTGTTAAAATTATTCTTTTTTCCGTAAATAATATCCGCAACCATAATTCAAATTTAGGTTTTATGCCAAAAGTTTCCTCTTCGTCTCTTTGATTTATTTTTTAAATTTTTATTTATTTATTTTAATAATAGCTTTGAATGGTGCGTTTAAGTTCGTGAAAATCAAAATTCCTCTTAGGTTAAAAAAAAGAAAGAAAATAATAAATTTCATTTGTTGAACTAAAATTCCTATAAACATCATATTGTTTTAGATATAGAAACTCAGTACAGGCTAATGCAATCGAAACCAAATGCAACAATAAAATACTACTTTCTGAGTGTGATACAATAATGGAAAAAATATTAGGTGTTAATATTTTCGGTAATCATATCGTATGTGATTTAATGCTTTATTTATTTTTTTAGTTGGAGGCATTAAAATTATTTATTGTTTTAATTCTTTTTAGTCGTGTTCGAATATGAAAGTTATTAATTTTTTTTTATTTTATAAAGCAATTGTTTTCGAATTAAACTGCTGAAATTTAGATTTGCTAAAGTGAAGAGTAAACAGAGCGCCCTCATTCGGCAATTTTCGCGTTAGATAATGTTTTCATCGTATTAAACTTACTTTTTCGTGTTTTTGCAAAATAGATCGCTGTGTACATCGAGTAAAAAGCAATAATAAATGTAATATAATGTATGTAAAATTAAATGCGCGCAATGTTGAGACCATGCCAAATTTGTCCAACTGATTCCGAATTTGTGCAATGCTTTGATTTTTCTAAGTGAAAATAGATCATAGTGTACATGAGAAAAACAACACTAATGTGTCATATAGTATATACAATGCGCGGAATGCCGAGCTTGTGCAATTCTCTGATGTTTTTAAGGGGACTTAGACACCTTAAAACCCATAAGATCTTCGAATATGTGACTGTTGCAAGAATTGGGATAACTTATTTATTTTAAAAGCAATTACTTACTGCCAACTTTTTACAGCTGACTACATAATATAGCTGCTTTCTGAAATAGTAATCAAAAATTTTGCGTTGCCAGAAATATTTTTGCAGTTTAATCTGCTTATCTGCTTTGTGACAAAATGTTTCTTCATGTTTCCACCTTGCGCGCACAGTTCAAAACATTCTGTGGCATAATTTAATTCCATATTTAATATATAGCTTTTATAACATATGGAAACTACTGTGAACCAAGAACGTGGCTCCGTCCTGCTGAAGATGCATGCTGTCGATGTTAAGATAAGATGGTCTCGGTGTAAAGAATGTTTGAACCGTTGGAATGTCATCTGGAGGTTTTTTTTTTCAAGGCAGATCCTGTTTCTTCAAAATTACGCACCCATGTTGTAATCGCATGCGCAGATGGGACACGTCCATGACGTCCAAGCTGGTAATGCTGTCGAAATATCTGCGCAGCAGACGCACTATCACCATTTTTATAAAACGCTCTCACAGCTACTGCACGTTCCGCACCAGTCCAATGATCCATGATTACTAAATGGCAATGAGCTCGCAACAATTGTCAGGGGCGTAGCTAGAGGGGTGTAAGGGGGTACATCTGTCTCCGGGCGCAGCATCCAATTGATATTACGAAATTTTAGAATTAAATGTTTTCCATCCTTCTCAAGCAATAGGGGCCCGAAATCTTCAGCTGTCCCTGGGCGCTGAAAGCCCTAGCTACGACTCTGACAATTGTGCAAAGTTTCGAACAACTGCCGGCTCTACAGTGCTGCCAATTGTAACGTTCAAAATTTCCCGTTTCCCTGCGCCACCCTGTATAACAATGGTGGCTCTTCCTTCTTGTAAAAAGAAGTAAAAGAGTTTAGGCAATGTTGCCCATTACTCTTCCGCCATTGGAACATTTAAAACAAAGATTTTAAGTGGTTATTCCCGGGTAAGGTAAATATTAAATAAGTAGATAAGATAGCAAACTGCCACCAAATGTATAGTATTAGTAAAAGATCCCATCTCTAAATTCAGGGGGGGCGGTTAAATCGTTAAAACATCCCAATTGGATGAAGAGCCGATTCAATCCCTCCCAAACCACCAAACGCAAACTCTTGACCAAACAAGGGTGCGATGGTGAGTCTGTAAAATAAATTAGAGGACAGAGGTACTTCCTCAAGCCAAGTGGCCAGGTGGAGTATATAGATTTGATATCTATATTTATATTCCAAAACACAGCTGTGTGAGAGGGAATTCCCTGCATAGTTTCTTCCCCCCCCCCCCCCCCACCAAAACAAAGGGCTGTGTGAGTCTAAATATCTGTTGGCTGTTTTTAGTTGAACTAAACGACTGATACTATCTCGTCCAGGGATAGTTTCCATCGCTTTTCCAGTCGGCTATTGCAGCCATTTTGTTATCGCTGCCAACTGAAACGCTGTTTCAACTTCTGCAGCGCTAGTGGCTCTTTTGCTAAATGGTTGTAGCAATCCTAGATATTCTCTTTTAAAATACATTCTCAATTTCTCTCTACGAGATTGGTCATTATTTAATCTTTTCACTAAACTGAGAGTTTCAATTCGGTATTTCATTTGATTCTAATTCGTTATTTCATTTGAAAGATTGGCTTCCGCGGACAAATAAGTTAAGGATCGATTACTCATTATTAATTCACATTCGCAAAGCAGAGTAGAAAATCTTCATAACTCATAATATTTTAACTAAATTTTCGTTCAAGAGTTCTTTTAAAATTTCTATTAAATGCTCACCTTGTAGAGACATTAGGTATTTTTTGGAAGCAGGCAAGATGAAAAATACGCAATGCCTTCGCCGGGAATGGAACCGCGGACCTCTCAATTACGCGCTGAGCGTGCAGACCACTACACCACGAAGGCTCGCTAAGAAGGCGGGAGAAAATACCTTATAACCTTGGAGTTGTGGCTGAACTCAATTTACACAACGTAATGTAAGTTATATTTCTGTTGAATTTTATCACAGTCATATAGATGCTTCATAACTACATTTACTGCAGTTACATTTGCTCCATTACTTGAATAAATAATCGATATAAATCGATTTGTCAGTAAAATGACACAGGATTTGGATAAAAGCACTACTACGCCGAGATAAGCTCAAGATGTACAGCTCTGTGTACTGCACATATAAAATTAACGGAAGCACTTCCGCAGAGAACCCGCTAAACGTAAACATCGCCAACTTTGGCGATAATAGTTCAAACCTGGTAACCTAGCTAATTCATCCTATTCGCTTATGCGAAGGTTGTCGTTGTTCGCATTTGGAGATTCATATTATTCTTTCTCCTTATTTATTATTATTTTTTCTGAATTTTTTTGAACAACGAATAGATAACAATATTTTCGCATAATTAAAGAAGTTTTCGTCGAAATATGTCCGATTCTCGGCTCGTCAGCTTCGGGATCAAAGGAAGAAAATTATGGCAGGAGGGGTGATTGCTAATTTATAACATGGCTGTTCACGTTATGTTCGTAATTATTAAGAGCTGTAAGCACGCAGAACCATGAGGTTTCCAACCCCTATAATAATTTTTAAAATGTATAAAGTTCTAGTTTTATTAAGAATGCTACTACCGAAGAAAATTTGATTACTAATTGAAGGTATATCATCATTTCATAATATATTTCACAATAGTGAAATATATTATGAAAAAGGATAGGTATTTGTTTCAACGTAAAATGCTTTAAGCTGTATGCAAGTAACTTGAAAAAAAATATATTTTACTGAAAACTATTTTGTAAAATGGATGTATTAAAGGTCATGCATTCATTAATTTATTACATGGGCATGGCTCTTACCGAAATACATCAATCAACAGGCAAAGTACTTAATAATGAAAAAAGACATTTCTAATAGAAATATTAGTATTCTAGGTATATGAATTAGGGAAAATACGTATAAGTATATTGTAAACGTAAGTATAAGAATACTAACTTGTTATTTTTTAAATGAATTTTTACTTCCCGTTTATGTTTAATATATTGTTTTCTGTGCTAACTTGAATTAATAGAAATTTATTTTCGTATATCACGTTTAACCTGTTAGTTTTATATCTACATACTTATTATCTGTGAATTTTTACTACCATTGTCTGCTAACTTGAATTTACATCACTAAAAACCACGTTTACAAAATA